CTTCTTTGGAAGCATCATAGAACGTGGTTTGTTTCCTTTTAAAGCCCCATCTTAGTTATCTAATGCTGCTATAACAGAAATACCACAAGTGAGTATAACAAACCAAAATTTATTTTCTCCTAGTTTAGAAGGCTAGAAGTCTGGATTCAGGGTGCTGGCTCTAGGGGTAGTCTCTCTCTCTCTTTCTCTCTCTGTGTATGTGTGTGTGTGTGTCCACTCTGGGTGAAGGGTCTTGTCTCTTTTCAGTTTCTGTTCCTCCATTCCCTGGAGATCTTCATGTGACCTGGCATGTATCTTCCCTCTTTGGGCTAACCTGCTTCTGGGCCTAATCTGCACTCTTTATATCTCAAAAGTGATTGGCTTAAAACACATGCTATGCCATGGCCGCATTAACATAACAAGAAGAATCCTATTCCCAAACAGGATTACATCCACAAGTGTAGGGTTTAGAATTTACAACACATATTTTGGGTGACACAATTCAATCCATAACAGCCCTCAACTCTGCTTCGGTAGTGTCGTTGTTAGGTGTCATTGAGTCAGCTCCGACCCATAGTGACCCCATGTACAACAGAATGAAACACTACCCTGTCCGCTCTGGTACTAAACTCACTGCTATCAAGTCAGATCTGACTCATAGCAAACCCTCCTTGGGTTTCTGAGGTGGTGTTTCTATGGAAGTAGATTGCCCAGTCTTCCTTCTGAGAGTGGCTGGTGGGTTTGAACCGCCAGCCTTCAGCTTAGCAGTCAAATGCCTTAGGCACTACGCTACCAGAGCTAGTACTCACAAAAGTAAATTTTTCACTTTCAGGAAGTTCTATGGGTTGACAGAGAAGTGTGAGGTTCTGTGCATAATGCCCAAAGCATGGATGATCCAGGGGGCCCCTAGGGAAGGCTTCCTGCAGGAAGCAACTTGGAGTCAGGCACCCAGAGTGGATGAGTCTGAGTATAATAGAAAGTGGGAGAGGGGTAGAGTAGGGCTTCATTGTTGAAGTGATTTCAGAGCTGGAGGGTATGGGCTGCTGTTGATGCCTGAGACTTCCAAACTTTAGATTTGTCCCAATCACTGCTGGCTGGCCTGGTGTGCACAGAGGAGTGATATAATTTAACTTTAAAACAAAAATCATCAGGCTAGAACAGTACAGAAAAATGAAGCAAACAAGCTAGATTATTCCAATCTGTAATAAGTCCATTTTGCAGTGAGGTAAACTGAGGCACAGGCATTATGTCTGAAGCATTCAATGCATTCATAATATGGCTATTGCTTCTTGAGCAGCTACGGTGCACATCAGTGTGGTCAGAAATTAAATAGAAATGAGTAAGATGGGGTCTTCAAGAACTCATTATTCAGGAATTTTTTTCATGAACAGTAGATTGTAAGAAGAGTGTGAAAGGAGAACACAAGGTATAATGAGAAATAGGAGTATGGCCATGGTCATTTCCAGGGTGTTGATAATATCAAGTATGTTGCCTTACTCTTAGTTTGCTAGTGCTCCGATAACAAAAATACCACAAGTAGGGGGCTTTAACAAACAGGGATTTATTCTCTTACAGTTTAGGAGGCAATATTCTGAGTGTGTTTCACTATGTATAATCTTCGGTTCTCTAGTGCCACTCTAACAGAAAATACCACAAGTAGGGGGTTTTAACAAATAGAAACTTATTTTCTCTCAGTTTAGGAAGTTAGAAGCCCAAATTCAACTCTGTCTGCCCTGGCGGAGAATTGTTCTTTCAAGTTCTGTTTGATTCCTTGGCAATTTTTGCATGGCATTGATCTTTCCTCCATTTGTCTCTGTGCCTAATCTGCTTTCTATGTGTCAAAAGCCACTAGGTTTAAGACCCTATACTGATATGACCTCATTAACAGAAAACTTTATTCCCAAAAAGGATTATATCCACAGTATAAAAAAAACATACACACTGCTGTCCAGTTGGACCTGACTCATAGCGACCCCTCCTTGGGTTTCTAAGGTAGTACCACTACAGAAGTAGATTGCCCAACCTTCCTTCCAGGGAGTGGCTGGTAGGTTTGAACCACCAGCCTTCTGGTTAGCAGTCAAGAGCCTAAGGCACTACGCTACCAAAGCTCCCATCTACAGTATAGGGGTGAGAATTCCAACGTGTATTTTGTGGGGATACAATTCAAGCCATACAAAGTAGACTTTCTTAAGTGTATTCATAACCCCAGGTTATGTATTTTAACTTTGGGTTCAACAAATACAAGCATACTAAGTGCCATTTACTTTTCACCCCAGTGACACACATCTCTCTTTTATTTTCTTACCTTTTCCTACTCCTTTCTTTATGCTCAGTATTTGACTTGATAAAAATTTCAAATTAGGCCTGAAGGGGATGGTTTTTAGAGGAAAAAAATGACATTTAAAAATTAGTTTTCCCTTTACAAGTTCAACTCCTGTAATTTTACAAGTGTAATTTGTTGCATAAACCTTTCATTTTCTGAGATGATTGAATGACTGAGTTTACAAATATGGATGGTCATGAACCACTATCTTCCTTCCCACGAGTCAGCAGGGCCAGAAGGCTCCTAGGAAAGGATGGGTAAACTAGGCACAAAGCCTGAAAAATACAACTTCCAGGAAAGAAATCTGCATTCCAAATGGAAGTGATTTCAGCTTAGAATGAGGAAAAACTTCCTAGGAGGGGTTTGAAAACAGATGTGCTGCCTCCTGAAGTAAGAGCTCTATTTGAGTAGATGCCATGGGAAAGAGAATACAGTTCAGGGTCCCCAAGACTACCCTCAAGTCCAATTCACTGAGAACTCAGCAAACTATTATACTCATTGTTATGGTTTATTACAGTGAAAAGACACAGATTGAAATCAGCAGAAGTGAACAAAGGATAGGGCCCAGGAGAGTCTGTGTATGTGTTTCCAGTTGTCCTCTCCCAGTGATGTTGTACAGACAGCACTTACTTTTCTCAGTAACAATGTGTGACAACATGCATGGAATATTGCCAACAATGGAAGCTTACCTGAGCCTTCATGCCCAGAGATTTTATGGGGGTTCAGATAATCAGATAACCCAAATCTCTCACCATAAATCACATTGTTAGTATAGAGTATTTGGCATGGCCCAAGGCCCCTAGGTAAACAAAGATATTCTTAAAGGTTTAAAGGTTACCTCCTGGGAGCCAGGGGTAAAGACCTCTACCTTTCTCTGGGCAAGTTAATCTTTGATTGCACAGATGGGAAGGAATAGTTCCTGCTAAGGTCTCTTTCAACTTAAGGTTCCCTTTTTCTACCTGAAGTGTATACTGAGTTAAAAATACAGTCATTCATACCTGAGAGAAGATTCTTGGAAGTCAACTCAATCCTGGGGTTTTCAGTGGAGGAGGTTTTGAGAACTTGTGATGGTTTGTTGCTATCCCAGTCACTGGGGGGCACTAAGAGAGTGGTGGCCAGCACCATAACCCATAATGAACAGGACAATGCCATACAGTAGTCATTCCAGATATCCATTTAGGTCTGAACCTGCTTAGAGTGATCTGAGTCCCAACTGTTTTACTTACACACGTTTTCTGTGCCTTTTTTAAGGAATGCATTTACACCTAATCCTTACTTACTGACTAGCTCATCATCCAACATTTCACATTTATGACCACTGTAAAAAATCTGCTGTCTGACAGTGTTGTGCATTAATGGTGTATGTCTGGTGGTGGCAAAGGCCAAAGTGCAAGACAAGAGTTAACGCAGGCTGTGATGGCTAAGGTTATGTATCAACTTGGCTGGCCATAATGCTCAGTGGTTTGGCAATTATATAATGATGTAATTTCTCAGCTATGTAACAATGTAATCATCTTCCTTTTTGAGATCTGATGTGGTCATCCTACATTTTCTCATATATAACACTAGTTTTTGCGTAACAACTTGGTCTTTGGAACCTAACCATGTCAGTAAGTTGAGGAGTGGTTGTACTGGTTGAGGAAAAATTGTGTTGTTTAGTTTGGAATGTGGCCAAGAATTATTCATCATTTCAGAAAAGCTTATGAGGGAAGGCAGTGCTGTCTGTGGCATTTGCATCCTTGGTGCCCACACACAGTTCACAGTTGTGATTCAGTTATTCTCACAGATGAGAGTTTGCTTCTGGTTCCTCCAGTATGCCTCCCAGCACAGCTGTGCCCAAGCACACATAGGGAGAAACACTATTACAGCACACTTCCTTATTATTTCTTCTTTATATTATAGGCAGGGTTCACAATGATTTTTTTTTTTTTTAAGTATGTTTGTAGGGAGAATTTGTTATCTATGATTTTCATTTTGGATAGTAAAGGGGACATGAAATCCTCGTTAGGAAAAAGGGCACTGGACCTGACAAGCCTCACACTATTCATATAGCTCCCACCCCACATTGTGCCCCTCTTCCGATATTATTGACAAGTAAGGACTCAACTCTCCAGGGTTGGGGAAGCTCAGTCCTTCCAGTATCTGAAGATAGCTAACAAGTCCCACCCTCTCGCCCCCAACCGTTATCTTCTCCTGGTTCAACAGCCCAAGTCTGTAGCTATTCTTTACTCCTCTGGTCACTTTCCTCTGGAAAAACCCTCTATTTCCCATGTTCCTCTTAGAATGTGGAACACAGCAGGGCTCTGGCAAGTGCAATAAGTGCCAGTTTGTTCCTGTTCTCTTCTCTGCACTGAGATTGCCTTAACTCCATGGGCTTAATGTGATACTAGGACTCATCACCCTCCTGTCCCACCCACCTGGAGCCCACCCACTTGGAATGCCCACCTCAGCCACCCAACAACATCCATCAACAGGAGCAGGCTTGAGCATACCCCATTACATGAGTTCATGGTGCTCCCCCAACTCAGAGGAGAAGTTAACAGAAGAGAGGAAATGGCGTTATTTAGAATGAATAGCTGTGAAGAATTAGCAATCAGTTGCGTGGGAAGACACAACTGGTCATTTCCCCTAATTGCTTCTTCCTCCTTCTCTGATTGCTCTGAGCTCATAGGTCCAGCTGTGGAGAAAGACTAGGATCTCAGGCAGAGGCATTTCCAAACACAAACAGAGAGGGCTTTGAGGAGACCCCCAGAGATGCCTCCAAAGGCTTCCCTCCACCAGCAGGGGGTACATCTTTGGTGCTGTTTTCTTGCTTTGGACAAATGGTCAGACAGGTCTGACACCAGGACCGTACGATGAAAATGGGCCTCAGGGGCCCAGGGAAGCAAGCCCGAGGGAAGGTGTAGATGTGGGATTCTTCATTCACGTTGTAGAAGGAAAGTTCCCCAGCTTCATAGTCTAGGAAAACCCCAACACGGGGATGGGGCATTTTCTGGGAGCTGAAGGCACCTGCAGGAATAAGGTCCCCCTTGGTCCAGAACCCATGGTCAGGGGTCCAGGTGGAAGAGTTCTTCCTGTTGGCATCCTCTTTACATACCCCAAGGAACCAGCTTCTTCCATCTGTCACCTCCACCTCCCAATAGTGTCTGCCAGCAGACAGGTGCTCAGACCCTAGCACACTCGGGAAGCTCCTGAACAGCAACTCTGCACAAGGTTGGCCATGCCAGGGCTGGGCCTGCAACACAGCCCTCCGGTCCTCGGACAAGGTCAGGCGAGGATGCGCACTCTCAGGGTCCAGGGTCACCACCACTGTGGATTACACACAGGAAGGGTTGGGTATAACACTCAGCACATAGTAAGTGCTCAATAAATGTAGGCCCTTTGTTTACTATTAGAACTACTTCTTACTATGGAAGGCTTCTTCTCAAATTGAGGAAAGGCCATTAACACAAGTGGGTAGTAAAGGGTTCTCATTCCCCCTGCTCTAGTCTCATTCTGCTGTCTGTAAAGAAGTACTTTCAAAGGCTAGTCATCTTGGAAAAGCTGAGATGCCAGCTGACAGATAACTTGGGACTTTTGAGCCGTGGAGAATAGACATGCTGCGGTGCCACATCTGCAGGTCTAGGGAGGAGGTGAGGAACACAGAGGGTCTCCTGGCAACCAGGGCTGGCACTTGAGGGACAAGATGGGGACAGGATTTTGGAACTGGCAGTGGAAGGGAAAAGTTAAGACAATAAGGAGGGATATTCATGGGAGGGGGTGAGGAGAGAAAAACAGAGAGTGAAGGCTGGAACAAAGTGTTCAGGGCAGAAGTGCTGGCAGGAGACAGTCACCACTGAAAACAGAGCAAGCAGTAAAGAAAACAAGATTTAATATAGCACAGAGACCCTGGGTTGTGAGGACAAAGCAAAATGCATAGAGAATAAATGGAGTTCTATGATGCATTTTTCTTCAACATCTCTGTGTTAGAAGTTTTCAAAATAAAGACGTTAGAAAAGAACAAGGTATCATTGGGCTTGGGTATCAAGAGGGCCACTGTGGTCTTCAGGAGAGGCTTCAAGGGGTGGCATGGGGATAAAAACAATGTTGGTCACAGTGTCACCACTCTGGCAGGACCTCTCCCCACCTCATAAGTGGTCTCTTATCCAAAAATCTGACACTCTTCCTCAGAGTACACACACAAAGTATTACCAGTGCACATGTTTACTGTCTGTGTCAACTACTAGACTGCAAACTGCCTACCACTCTGTGCAGCATGTTACTCCAGTGCTGGGCATAATAGCTGTATAATGAGTGAATTATAATGGTATGCTTAATAATTACATGATGGATTAAAGCAGGCCTTGAAGATAATGCTCCCCTTCCCTGAACTTATTAATTCCAAGTGTTCCTATCATCTCTCAGCCAGAAAGCTCCAAGATACAGGTCATGTCTGGCTAGAATTGGATGGGGAAAGGAGCAACAGGATGAAACGGTGTACAAAAGAGGAAAGTGAAAACCTGAAGGAAAAAAAAAATCTCACTGCCGTTATGTCGATTCCAACTCACAGTGAACCCTCCTTGGGTTTCTGAGGTGGTATCTCTAGGGAGCTCTGGTAGCATAGTGGCTAAGGCACTTGACTGCTAAC